GGGCTGAGCCCCGCGGGGTCGCTCGGTGGGCAGCAGCGTTCACCTCCCGGGACGGGGGATGAGCCGTGTCCCCCACCCCAGGCAGCGGTCGGGGGTCCCCGCTGAGCGCCGGTGCTGCTCTCCCGCACCGACAGATTCCTATTTCCCTGCTCCAGAGAAAGGATTTTCGTTACGCGTTACCGGAGTTATGCAAAGACCAAAGTCTTTTTAGAACTGATACAAAACAGTACAGATTCACTATATTTTTTTCCTCTAAGGGGAACAATTGAAAAGTTTATCTAAGGTTTCCACCTGTTTCTTTTCAGTTTGTTTGCTCTGCTCTGGTGTTTTCCATCTTTTCTGTCCGTGTGGGCAGATTGCCTTCATTGCCGTTTCATTCATTCATTCACGTGGAATATAAGACTAAAATAAGTGTGGTGCTGGGTTTTTTTGGTAAACTCCTTAGATGTCGAATAGATTATATCTTTGTAATGTCATGTCAAAACAACAAATGCATCTGTTAGCACTAGAAACGCTTTAGAAACGATTTAAGTACTTTAACTTACTTTCACCGCCCCATCTCCAGGTCTCTCCGCACACCAGGCAGCAAGTGGATGTTTACAAAAGTTGTTGCAATTATTTTAAAGAACAAGCCTCTTTCTCATAAAATTTTAAAGGGAAAATGACTGTTGCCCAGAGGTGTTTTATTTACTTCAGTTTTCAGCAGCATTTTTTGGACCTGAGGTTTGGGTGACTCCTGGGTTTGCAGCGGGTGCAGCTCCCAGACCCAACGTGTGTCCTAATTGCACCAGTGCAAACAGTGATGCTCCCCAGACCCAGTGAGCAACAAAAGAGATCCTGGTGCAGGAACCACCATGGTTTGGCTACACATATCTACATACCTAGAGCCGATCCTGTATTTCTGTGTACCAGATTTTCCTGGGCCATTTGCTGTATGTATTTGATGGGAAGTCTGACAGTGAAGAAATTTAATTCAGAGTGAAATCTGTGGAAACAGCTGGAATCTTGTGTACATTTTTTTCCATAGGCCCAGGATTTCATCCGATGTAGATGCAGATCTCCTAAGCCAGAAACTTCCACTTCAAGGGGCACCCAAGGAGATGAGGTTTTTAGGTATGTGTATTACTACACACTGTATGTCACTCAGTCATTCTGGTTCTAAATCTGGTTATACACCAGCACGATAAAATCCAAACTGTGTGTAAACCAGCCTTAGTCCTGTATTTCAGTAGAGGAACAGGTGTTCATACCAGTCTGGCTGTATTTTTGGGTAGTTCGGACTTTTCCAGTAATCAGGGAAGACTTTCTCATTTCTGCAGGACTTTGGAGGGGTGGCAAGTGAGAAAT